AGAAGCAGAGTTTAGACTTTAATCAAACAAATAGAGACCCATTCTCTTAGTTATCATATTAGTAAACTTTCCTTATCTGCATGCAGGGTTTTATTCATGTTTTTGGACACTTCTACTAAAGCATTTATTAAATGTTTACAACGAATCAGGAAAAAAAGGCTTTTGCAAGAAAAATGATCAGTAGAGATTTACTGTTCCACCAGACAGTGCAAATAAACTGAAAGGAAACAGAAAAACTCTAAAGATTCATCAGCATAATTTAGACAGGATGAGAAAATATTAATAAGGCTGACTAACGTCCAAAACCAGACTTCTACAACAGTCGTCCATCATATTTCTCATGCATACATGTGCTATTCTGAAACCTCTACAGCAGGAATCTATTTGGAAGATCTGAATGAAAGAAAGAAGCCATCTTGTGCTCTGTTTGCTCCAACTCCCTGTTGAACACCTTGACAACCTGAGTGGATCTATTTTTTTTATGTTGAAGAAGCAAAGCTGCAGTTAAATGTGGCCTTGGACTACCAGACTGAGACATGGCGCTGAAGAGAGCCTTCTGCTGCTGGGAGTGTCGGGAATGAGGCCTGGTGTGTGTGTATGTGTGGAAGAGGGCTGTAGTGTTGAGAAGCAGATTGGAGGAAAACAAAGAGAAGAATCCCTGTGCGCCTAAAACTAAAGGCAGAACAGAGTGATGCTCTCTGTTTGCACTCAGAGCCAAATAAACACACTTAAACTCACAGATAAAATCAAATGCACGGCCGCATTTCACCTTTAAACACTCACACCCAAAGCTGCAGGGAGGCATCTGCAGGGACAGACAGAGCTGTGCTGCTATCAGACGCCTCCTGTGTGTTGCTATTTCCACAATGAAAACTTTGTTCTAAGTGAGAAATGGGATGACAGTAATTTGCAATGGTTTGAATTATTTTTGCTTCTTGCTTCAAACAGCAGATCTGCTCAAATATAATTTTGCAGCTTCAGATTGGATGCCTGAACCCTTTCTCTCACATTCTGCTGCTAAACCCCCAAAAGGTAAAGAGGAAAAGAGGTGAAATCTTAAAGCAGAGAACTTTAATGCACGTATTGTTATCAGTGGGTGGAGCTTCAGTGTTTCTTTGCATCTTAGGTTCAGCCGCTCAGGCAGAATGGTGCAAACGGCCATTTGTAAATGTGCTGAAGCAAAAGACTGGTAGAGAAGAAGAAGCGTGCATGTGTGACTCAGCCTGGAGGTGCTTTGTTCGTGTCGGGCCTGAAGCCGACCGTCAGCCACGCTCTGACTCACCAGGACAGAATCAGAACCTCCCTGTGGCTCTTCAACAACCACGGAAACGGATCACAGCCTGGGAACTTGGGAGGGGCAGTGAGGGCAGATCTGTCACTGTGGCTAAGGAAGGAAGACCACCACTCTGATCAGCCGGGCAAAGGTTTGAAATCACTTTCATTTTGTTACTCTTCCCTCTGTGCCACACGTTTCCAAACATTTCAGGCTGCCCCTCTAAATGCGACTGTTGACCCATAAAAATAAATTAATTTCTTCTCCCTATATCTATTGATAAATATAATGCTGCATAGTTAAATTCCCTTTTAAATGAACTTTTTAGGACATTTCAGTATTTAATTCATCATTTTGAATACTGCTTTTTAAACTTGTATTAGATAAATGAATAAAAATAAATGTATAAAAAAAATGAATAAATAAATGTTACATCTACTTATTTCATGGGACATTGATATTTAAGTATTTCATAATATATTTTGACCCTTCAAGTACCTGACAACCCACCAAGCGACCCCCTGCTCTAAGCAGTCACAATATCCTGCCTCATTTTAAACTGGCTCTGATCCACAGCTCATCAGAGGAAATAATCCTTCTATTATAAAAAGGCTCACAGGATGAAACAAGGTCAGTTTATTGATAAAGTACGTTCCAGTAGCAGGACGATTACAGGTGCTGCACATGAGGAAGATAATTAAAGGTATACTTTAGCAGCATACAGTCACAACAAATTACTGAGAACAATTCAGTTGAATAACTGACAGGAAATAAGATTTTTTTTCATTCCAAAAGGTGAATCCATCTTCCATGTGTTTCAACCAATAACTGCATTTTCTGATCAGCAACTAGGGGTGTAAATAATAATCCTTTTGTATCTCTGCATTGATCCACAGCCGATGATCCGATGCATCGACACGTCTGCAAGAGCATCGATTCATATTTTTTTCTATTCATTCCTCGGTTCTATTATCTATTTGCTCCTGGACGTAATTCTGACTCCCGAGCTGTGGTGGCGTTAAACCTATTTTTCCCTCCTACCTCACTTCCTTTAGCCACTACCCTCTACCTACTTGCAGTATTTGTTGATGCAAGGCCTTTCAGAATCTATAACACAGAGGATTTTTTTTTTTCTTCAGTGAATGATGTTTTCATAGGCCTAGGTGGAGTACAACTTTGCTACTTCTGTTATTATCTGTGGTTTCGCAAATAAAATGCGCAACATTGTTACAACTTTGATTGATTTATTTCAAATTTGAAACATTGTCTAACCTGTAAGGTGAAAATGCAAATCAAATCAAATCGAGGTGGATTCTTGAGTATCGAAAATAATCGAATCATTGGGTCAGGAAATTGATACTGAATGGATTCGCCATGATGGGTGGGATTTACACCCCTATCAGCGACTGCATGTTTACTGAAAACTTAAATACGTTAATATTCCTAACACAAAGTCTTTGTCTTCATTATTATCATTAATTGTATCAGTGTTAGTATGTGTAAACTTTGAACCAATCTGACTGAATGATCCGTAAAAAGCCTTAAGATGGCATGTGTTATGAATTGGTGCAAATATAAATCACCTGGTTTTAATTTAATGGATTTATAAAATAATAATATGACCCTAAACAGTTAATAATAGCTGAACTCTGACCTTTGGGAAACCTTTAGAGTTGGAGCATCTGTTTTTCTAACACCTGGAGTGAAGGTCAGGATCCATTCTGGATGTTTTTTTAGTCCTTCTGTGCTAGCTTTAAACAGTGGGTCAATAGATGTTGTGCCAAAGATCTAAAATATGAACACAATGCAGCACCCATTATTTACCCATTCAGTTACTTTATCAAATCTAATTGGGAGGGAACTTAGATTTGTTTTCTCTGCAGGGATGATGCATTAATAGCCACAAATTATTTGGAAACTTTAGAAAAATCTTTCACATCTGTCACTTTTATCATCATCACTATATGTAAAATATCGGGACAATCTTTGAATCCATTTCACCCATCAAGATTGAGATAAATATTTACTGCTTACATACAGGGTGTTTGAAAATGTGAGCTTAAAACACCATGACAGACTGTAAGTAAATCGAAACAGAAATACATATATAGATGAGGAAATAGAAAACTATGGAGCAGCACCAAAAAACAAATCTACTAATCGATCTTATGATAAGCTGATGAAGATTCTCAATCATCCAGTCATTCCGTAAAAGTTTAAAAAACAATCCACTGGGTTTGGTTTCCAAGGTTTGAATAGTATTACAGGAGACAATCACCCCTTTAACGACTGACCTTCACAATCATAGACAGGTTTCAGATATTACAGGCTAACAATGGAATCCAATGACTCGCTCGTCAGTTTCAATTTGCATGTTTTCAAGCAATACAAGGCCTTGCTATATGAAGCCTCAAACTCACTCCAGATCCAGACATTTGAATTGAGAAAGCTTCCTGGAGGGGAAGCGAAACGTCTTCAAACCTTGGAAACCAAGTCCAGCGGATTGTTTTTTAAACTTTTACGGAAATCTTATGATAAGTTAGTCTACACGAGAGCCAATGTCCTTCTACGTTTAGAAACGTTCCTGACTTAACACAAAACACCTAGATCAAAAGGATAAATAACCTCCTGAGTCCTGCTAAAGGATCTAATAATGTGATTTAAAGACACATCTAAAGGTGCAGGACACTGGCCCCTATAGGGACCGTCCCCTGTGTTCTAGAAGTATTCATTCGCCAGAGAGCTGACTGACCCTCCCAGCATGGCGACTGGTTCTTTTTCATCCCACTCAGTTGTGCTAGACTTTGGAGATATGCAGGATATGATATACTACAGTTGCCCATGTCTGCTCTACTTGCAAAGAAAAACGTGTATTTAACTGTAGAGGTTGTTACAAATCCACCATTTTATAAATGCAATTTCATTGTTTAAAGAAAATAGGAGTGGAATAATTTCCATACGTTCTTAATGGTCAACTGAGGATGTCCTATGTGCCTCATTAAGTGATCTGTACTGAAAACAGCCTGGATCCAGAAAATAATAAAAGCAAAGAAAATGAGCCAATGTTTAAAGACAACTTTTAAAGATCCTGAGGAAGAATTAGCTTTATAAATCTATTATTCAAAGCTAGTTTAACTCTTTAGCACAGCAGGCCTTTATGTGAGGGTCGGTCTGTAATAACAGTGGGATGAATGAGGATGGTGTTTAGAGGGCGCAGGGGTCACGTCGCGCATCTGCAGCGGCGGGTTTCAGTGAAGGCGCACTTTCTGATTGCGTAACCTGAGCGGAGTTCCCGCTGTGGTTGGCTGGAGGGAACACCGACTTACATGGTTGGAGCAGAGCTGCTAGGAGCTGCAGCTCTGAAGGGTTTCTGGGGCGGAATGTCATCTGAAGGGTACCAGGAGGAACTGACGTCCCTGAAACCATGAGCTTCACGTTGCAGAGCCATCTGCTTCCTAGACTGACGCAAACAACCTGGATCGTGATCATTCTGATGTCCCTGAATAAGCAGGTAAAAGGCTTTCAGGGAGGTGTGATAGATGGTTGTTTTTGGCGCAATGCTGCAGCAGACCAGCTCCCCCCCTCAGCATCAGCATCAGATGGAGCTGCTGCACATCCAGCAGATTATAAAACCTTTGGTGAAATAAAACCTGATCATCGGGTCCGCAGAGGACACTCTGCCGCAGATCCAGATAAACCCACAGCCCGGGACGTCTTGTCCTCTTACCTGAGTGGCTTTGTGGAATTGCTTCTTCAGCCCCGCCACAGACATGATGCTTCACGGTGGTTCTGGTCGGAGATCTGCTCTGTCGCTGCGGTTCCGATGGGCTGAAAACCTGTCTCCAAACAGGATGTGTTTGCAGGCTGTGAGTGAGTCGGTGCTAATCCCGGTCTACGCTGGTCTGCTCCTCAGGGATCTCCTGTGTGTGAGAGGCTGAGTAAAGCCCCGATCAGCCCATTGGACGCTGAGCCCACATGTCTTTAAACGGAGCTGACGTCGAGAGACGCTCACTTTAAAGCGGCAGCAGCGGGTCTGATCCGAGCTGCACCAGAACAGGAGGCAGGGACTTTTCCATCTCTAAGGATCAACGGAGGAAGCAGGAAAACATGCCGTTATTCTGCCGAGAGGATTCAGCTGCAGCACCATGGACAGCGACACAGCACTCAGACATGAGCTGAAGAAATTAGTGCAGCTGTAAATCCCACTGCTCTACAGCTCTGAGCAAAAGTTAAAAATCAGCTTCCTTATTTACATTTTCATCTGAAAGATTCTCATTTTACATACAATCAATAAAAATGCTTTGTAACCAAGATATTCACAGCAGTCTTTGACTTGTTCTACAGTCGCCCTGCTGCACAAGGTGTTCTCAGAGTGCTGCATGGAAGAATATCAACAGAAAGATAGGTGGAAGGTGAATGGGATAAGCATTGGTTTGATTTGGAGGAGATTTTGAAAGTGGACTGCATGAAATCAAAGCTGCTTTAGAGTCCAGAGAGAAGTTTCTACGGTCTGTGATGAGCTGAGGTCCTGGAGTTCAGAGAGCCTTTGTTGTTTCATTCTGCTGACAAGCTTAATGGAGATACTGATTTAATTTCCCACCAGGACCTGGTGCCAGCCAACAAACATACTAACATACCTGCCTTAATTAGGACAGTAACACTTTGCTGGCCTGTGTGCTGGCTGGATCTAAACCCCATAAAGACATCACACTGTTGAAGTAAAATGAATGATGAAACACTGGAACCAGAGAACATTACAATCTCTATCAAAGCAATCTAGGGATCCTGAACACTTTAACAGAACCAGAGGTGTATGCTCCCCGTGCCGCACTAATTTATGCACTAAGCACTTAACACTAATTTATGCAAAGGAGTTTAAACTTAGATCCAAATGTCAGTTATTGCAGTGATATAATACAGATAATCTGAAGCCCTAGTGATTAAAAAAGAAAAAACACAGAAAAATAAAGAATAGAAGACGGCATTGACTGAACATTTTAAATACAATAATTTCACTTTTAGAACTGAGTTGAACTGAATAAATGCGTTATTTTTAATAATCACAGAGTTATACAATATGAAAACAGCTTCAACAATGAGAGACAGTACAAAAAGCAATGTCATTTTTATTTATACAGCACATTTAACAAAGCACTATGTCGAGCCAAGTGCTAAATATAAATATCCTCACATTTAATGTTTGGCATCTGTCTTTAAAATGATCTAGATCTTTTAGTAAAACAGCAAATCTAAGATCTTAATAAACATATTTAAAGGTACATTTCAGAAAAATGATAATACATTTGTTTTTACACATCAAATGTGCAATATTTGCTGAACCACATGTCAGTCTCTTTCTTGTTAGGAATCATCTGTTAGCTCTTGTTTATAATCAACTCTGGATTTATGAAGCTTGATGTGCGCTTTTTATTTAATTGTTTAACACATAAATGTTCTTTAATTTATGTTATGGACTTTTTTAAAAGACAGGGAACCAAAAAAGGGACACAAAAATAACAAGATCCCTCATTGAGAGGTTAAAAAAACAACAACAAACAACAAGTTTATTAAACTTAATCTGTCCTCCAAATTTGCAGAAATGTTTCTCAAATCAAGGACATGATGTCAGGATTGTAATCAAATGGGCTATGATCAGTTTGGAAATAAAAGATGGTTAAATCTTTCCATGTGAACAGGTCTGCTCAGACATAAGCTATTGTTTTAGGCCTCTGTCCAAGGTGTTAAAGTCCATCTTTAGTTTATTAGAAAAGCTCCGGATATTTAGCAGAAACCTTTTATATTTCAGGGCGTCTATATTTCAGAACCCAGTCCAGTGGAACCAGGTGCTGAATGTTTGATTCTGGGTCATGGTCAGGTCTAAACATCGTCTTTTGACATGCAAAGAGGACAAATCTTGTTTGTTTTTTTTACTGCATTTTATCGTTATAAACCATTTGGGTTCCTTTTGAATGTCGGAGTTAATTCCTACCAGTGAGACTGAAATATTTATATTTCCTGATCATGTTTTTATTCCCCTAAGGCCGACGGAGTTCCTTTTGTCGGGCGCAAGTGGGCGCTAAGCTTAGAGTCCATGAGAGCTCCAGAGGTCATTCAGAAAAAAAAAAGCCCTGCAGCCTCTGCGAGCTGTGGTGCTGGTTTAACTGTCTGTGTTGTAGTGAGTTTGAGATGCTCCAAAACATTAAGTGGAAAGAAGCGTCATATTGGTATAGATCTTTGGTTTACAAACTAGTTTGTTTTGACTAATAACAGATAGAGGGTTAAATCTAATGAGCTCACATAACGTTATTAATCAAAATAGATTTTAATAAATGAGATTCCTTTTGATTATTTTGTCTGTGTCAGTTTTTCTGTGGGTGCTTTTATTTAGTTTTTTTTTTTCTTTTTACAAATAAGGTTAGAAATTAAATCTCCTAACTAAAGTGAATTTTGTTCCAGGTTCAGGTCAAAATAAGTTTAACATGAACTCGGCCTTCAAGCATCAGCAGGTTGTTCAAATCAATGAAAATTAGATTCATAACAGCGTCCAATACTGAGGCATTTCAGAGTTTAAAATTTGCTTTATCAGATTTTATAGAGTCATAAACATAATAAACCCCCACAAGTTTTCATTTCAACAAAATGTTGTTTTGAAAAGTCAGTTTCTCTTTTAGGAACGCTTAAAATATCAAGAGAAGTTCATTGTGGGGAGATCATGCTTTTTACACACATCATGACATGAAACAACACACAAAATATATGATATATCTCACCTACTCCATATTACACGTACATTTTAATATTGTATTACCGTCTAAAGCTGCATAAAGTGTTTTCAGTGTTATAGCAGCAGGTTGTGTAAATGTTATTTTCTTCTGACATATTTTCTGCTCTTCCTCATCACAGGTTGATCTGAGTTTCCTTCATGTGACATTTTGTAGCTTATTTCCATTTCTGAGCTCTGAAGCTGAACACCTGCCCCATGATGGTGGCGCCATCTGATGGACATTTTATGAATTGATGACATCGATTATGAATCTAACACAAAGAAATGAAATGTAGTCAAAAAAGGGAAGAGCTTACAAGAAGCTTATAGAAATCATGTTTTTGGGGAAACGGATGGAAAACTTTGCTACGCACACACATCATAAACATACTGTTCATTTGATAGTATGTCTCTATCAGTTTTGCACATCGAGAGACGAATAATTTTGCCCATTCTTCATTGAAAAACAGCCAACAGTTCAATGAGGTTGGATGGAAAGTGTTGATGAACAGCAGTTTTTAGTTCTTTCCACAGATTCTGGATTTGATTTATGTCTGGACTTTGACTAGGCCATTTTAATTCATGGATGTGTTTATTTGTAAAACATTTCATTGTAGATTCTGCTTTATGTTGTGGATCATTGTTTCTTGTTGGAAGATAAATCTCCATCATTGTCTCAGGTCTTTTACAGACTCAGGTTTTCTTCCAGAATGGTCCTGTCTTTGGCTTCATCAATCTCCTGATCAGTTTTGACCATCTTTCCTGTCCCTGCTGAAGAAAATCAGGCCTAAACCATGATGCTGCCACCACCACGTTTGACAGTGGGGATGTTATGTTCAGGATGATGAGCTGTGTTGCTTTTACACCAAACATAACGTTTTGCATTGTTGCCAAAAGGTTAGATTTCACTTTCATCTTATCAAAGCATCTCCTTCCACATGCTTGCTGTGTCTCCAAGGTGGCTTGTGGCAAACTCTAAACAGGATTTTCTATGGGTATCTTTAAGAAAAGACCAGATCTGTGTGGTATATGACTGATTTTTATCCTATGAACAGAGTTGCTGTAGATCTCTGCAGTTTATCCAGAGTGATCATGGGCCTCTTGGCTGTATCTCTGATTAGTCTTCTGATTGTTTGAACTGAAGGTTTAGAGCAGGCATCCCCAAAGTCGGTCCTTGAGGGCCGCTGTCCTGCAGGTTTTAGAGGTTTCCCTGCTTTAGCACAGTTGATTATGATGATTGCAGTTGAGCAAAAGCCTGTTAATCAGCTATCAATTAAAATCAGCTGTGCTGGAGCAGAGAAACTTCTAAAACGTGCAGGACAGCGTGCAGCCCTCAAGGAACGAGTTTGGGGATGCCTAGTTTAGAGGGACAGCCGGGTCTTTGTAGATTCTCAATGGTCTGATACTCCACTAACTACTCCCCTAACTAACCCTTCCATTTCAATATTGGTGCTCCTTTGGGATGTTTAAAGCTTAGGAAATCCTTTTTTATCCAAACCTGGCTTTAAACTTCTCAAAAACAGTATCTAAGACCTGCCTGGTGTGTTCCTTGTTCTTCATTATGCTTTGCGTGTTTTAAACAGAACTCTGAGACAATCACAGAGTAGCTTCATTTATACTGAGACCTGATTACACACAGGTGGATTCTGTTTATCATTTAGGTCAACACTGGATCATTCAGAGATCCTCACTGAACTTCTTGAGAGGGTTTGCTGCATTGAAAGTAAAGCGATCCATTCATTTTGCACGTCCCACTCTTCAGTTTTTTATTCATTAAAGTTTAAAATACCCAACAAATTTTTTTTTACTTAATTGCGGTGTCCTATTTATGTTGATCCGGAATTTTATATCTTTATGTTTGAAGCGTTAAATGTGGCACAATGTGGAAAAGTTCAAGAAGGCTGAATACTTTCTTAAGGTGCTCTATATTACATATTTTTTAGTCTGTCTTCTGTGCTGCTCAAAACAATTGCCCCTGGTGGGATTTATAAAGTGTGCTGAGTGTGAATAGTAGATGGTTCTACACTATGGCCTATGTGTAAAATTTTACTTCTGGAACATCGACAAAAAAAATCAAATGCATTTATTTGGGTTGAAGATGAATAAAAAAAAAAAATTATTCAACCAACCTTTTTTTTTTTTTTTTACTTAACTTGTATAACTCTTTTCAATCTAAAATGTAAATCTTATCAGTATACACATAGACAGAAATGGACAAATCTCTCCTGAACTCA